GATAAAACGCCCCCCTGGTCACGGCCGACAGATGGTCTTCCAATGTCAGCCGTGGATCCAGGAGGACTCCCAAGTTGCGGGCCCTCTCTGAGGGGGCCAAAATTTCGCCCCCTATAGTCAGCGATGGCGTCAGCTGACTATGCCGAGGCGCCGGCAACCACAGCCACTCGGTCTTGGAAGGGTTGAGCCTGAGTCTGTTCCTCCCCATCCAGACCCGTGGGAGGGGTTGAATCAACGTGTTGCACAAGCTGTCATAAACGTAACCATGGTGGTCTTATCTTATTTAAAATAGGTCTTTATTCAGAAATAGTAGAAAAGTAGAAAAAGTAGAAAAGAAGACAAAAACAAGATTAAAAACCGAAACTCAAACTAGTATTTGGCTGCAGAAATCTGGGTGGCCAGGAGGGGGCAGCAGAGGGTGACATTCCTAGCTAATCTGAAATTTGGCGCCCCCAAAACTCAGATGAGACATTTTGAAAAGTATATATATATTGTGCGTTTTCTTTGGTTTTTAAGAATCATTGCAAACCATCCCTCTGGGATTGTGGACAATTAATGCCTCGAATTCAACTACAGAAAGTCCTCGGCTTACAACCACAAGGGAGCCCCAGATTTCTGTTGCCAAGACAATGAGTTTTGCCCCCTTTTACGACCTTTCTCGCCCCTGTGGTTAAACAAATCACTGCCGTTGTTCAGTTACTCAAATGGGCATTAAGTGAATCCGGCTTTCCCCCGTTGAGTTAGCTTGTTGAAAGGTCGCAGAAGTGGATCACACAATGCCAGGGGTGCTGCAACCGTCGTAAATACGAGTCAGCTGCCAATTTTGATCACGGGACCCACGGGGGACGCCGCGACGGTCCTGTGAAAAACGGCCCTAAGTTGCTTTTTTCAGTGCCGTTGCAACTTCCAGCGGTCGCTAAACGAACAGTCGTAAAGCGAGGACTGCCTGTTATAGCCAGGATGCTTTCAAGCTTCGGGGGACAACCAAAAATGCCCTTATTTTTTTCCAAAAGGAGGGTTTTGATCCAAAGCTGCCTATTTTTCCGCTCCATCCAGCGCCATCGTTTAACTCTAAAATACGAGATTTTTCTTCCCAAAATTAGCTTTCCTTTTCCGGGATTTTTTTTCCCCTCCAAGATTTGGATCCACTCCGCCTTTTTGAATTTCGCCCCCATTTGCATCAGAGTTCCCTAAATCTCGCCCAAATTAAGGGGGGGCTCCTGAGGATCAAACCCTTTCCTCGCCCCCAAATCAAGAAACGGGTTGATAGGTTTAAAAAAAATCATTTTTGCGATGCAGTCGTTAAGTGAATCACACGGTCGTTAAGCGAATCCAGCTCTCCTCCCCCCCAATCCCTCCCTTGAGTTTGCCCATCGGAAGCCAGCCGGGAAGGTTTGCTGGGATGCTACGACCGTCGTAAATGCATTCCCGTTGCCAAAGGCTCCAATTTTGATCGTGCGACCGTAGGGACGGTCGTAAGTGCGAAGATCGCTTTTTTTCAGTGCCGTCGCTAAACAAATTATTGCAAAACAGGTTTTTTTTTTTCCCTTCGCCAACTTCGTTTCTGCCTTATCGTCTTTCGTGGGATTTCTCGAGCAGAGCGGAAGTGGTTGGCCTGGAATATTGTCCGTGCCGACCGGCCGGCCGGCTGGACCGTCGTTCTCAGGAGCTCTTCATGCCGGCGTCTTGGACCCCCAGCGGAAGGGGCTTCCCCCCCCTGGGGTCAAAGGAGTCCATGCTGTCCTCTACCTCCACCGCAATTTGCTGGCTGGAGCCTCTTCTGGCGGCGGTTTCTTCCTGCGAGAGGGGAAGGTCTGGGTGGCGTCCGGGGTGGGCGGCCCCCGAGGGGCTCAAGGCCGGAGAGGGAGCCCCGTGGCCCCCTCCGTTGCAGATGCTGACCACGCAGCTCACGTTCACGTGGGCCTTCCCGTTTCCCGAAATCCCTGTGGACGAAGGAAAAAAAAATTGATAAGAAAGAAAGAAAGAAAGAAAGAGATCGGATAACAAAGAAAGAGGAAAGGAAGGAAGGAGAAAGAGAGGAAGAGAGAGAAAGAGAGAGAGAGAGAAGAACCTGAAAACAGAAAGAGAGGGAAAGAAGGAAGGAAGGAAGGAAGGAAGGTTCCTTCCTTCCTTCCTTCCTTCCTTCCTTCCTTCCTTCCTTCCTTCCTTCCTTCCTCTTTCTCTCTCTTTCTTTCTCTCTTTCTCCTTGGACTTTTGTCTTTCTCTCCCTTTCTTCCTTCCTTCCTTCCTTCGAAGGAAGGACAAAGAGAGGAAGAGAGAGAAAGAGGAACCTGAAAACAGAAAGAGAGGGAAAGAAGGAAGGAAGGAAGGAAGGAAGGAAGGAAAGAGAGAGAAAGAAAGAGAGAAAGAGGAACCTGAAAACAGAAAGAGAGGGAAAGAAGGAAGGAAGGAAGGAAGGAAGGAAGGAGAAAGAGAGGAAGAGAGAAAAAGAGGAACCTGAAAACAGAAAGAGAGGGAAAGAAGGAAGGAAGGAAGGAAGGAAGGAAAGAGAAAGCAGGAAACATAAAGAGAGAGAGAGAGGGAAGAAAGGAAGGGAGGGAGGGAGGAAGGAAGGAAGAGAAAGCAGGAAACAGAGAGGGAAGGAAGGGAAGGAAGGAGAAACAGGAAGAGAGAAAGAAAAAGAAAGAAAAAGGAAGGAAGAAAAGAAAGAGCAACCAGAGGAAACAGAGAGAGAAAGAAAAAAGAGAAAGAAGGAAGGAAGGAAGGAAGGAAAGAGGGAGGAAGAGAGAAAGAAAAAAAAAAGCACTGATGATGTTACCTAGCATGGCCATGAAACGTCTCGCAGACAAGCTCAGAGAGCACCAAGGACCCCACCGTCCTCAGCTTTGCAATGACCCAGCCCAGCCGGATGGGACCTGGCACCCCAGAAACGGAGCATCCCTCACGCCCCCCCCGATCTAGCCCCATCGGGGAGGGGTCTCACTTGAATCCACGGTGCTGCAGCACGGCCCCTCGTTCAGGGGGAGAGATCTCTGCTGGACGCTGTCCGTTTCCACCCGGCGGGGGTCTCCATTGCTGCTTTCCTGCCTCTTCTCAGACCCGGCTGGACCGTCCCAAAGGCCGGAGGGTGACGTCTGCAAGAGGCTGTCCTTCTCCTGCCCCACAGCCTGTGGAACCTGCGGCCACTTGCCAGGGAACTTTTCGGCCGGCAAGAAAGGCTGGAAGGAAACGGAGAAGCCAAACGTCAGAAAGTGCATTGATCAGCCAGGACCCCAGACCCAAATGGGGTCTGGCAGCTTTCCTGTGTTTGGGACTTCACGTCCACTCTTTATATCCTTCGCCAAGGCAAGTTCCGAGTCCTCATTGAGGGGCTCGAACAGCAGGGAAGAAAAATGGAGGCCCTCTTTCACTTTTGGGGTGTCTCTGATGACGAAGTTGCTCAAATTCTGATTTAGAGAGGCAAAAAATATCAGTGCTCACCTGTTTTTTCTTCTCCCACATGGGAAAACACTTTTGGCCTGCCGGAGGGAAAATTAAAAAAAAAATAGGAAAAGTTCAGATCAAGCAGGACACCCCAGACCATTTCAATCAATCAATCAATCAATCAATCAATCAATCAATCAATCAATCAATCAATCAATCAGAGTAGAGCTGGAAGGGGCCTCGGAGGTCTTCTAGTCCAACCCCCTGCTCAAGCAGGAGACCCTAGACCATTTCAATCAATCAATCAATCAATCAATCCGAATAGAACTGGAAGAGGACCTTGGAGGTCATCTAGTCCAGCCCCCTGCTCAGGCAGGAAAC